GGGGGGGGGGGGGTGTGTGCATTCACTCCTGTCATCCAGATCGCCTCTAAAGACATTGAATAGTATCTGACATTGTGTTGACTGCTGAGAAAATCCGCTCATGAGCAGCTGCTAATTTGCCTTCGAACCATTAACCACCTCCCTTTGAGCCTGGCATTCTCTCAGGTTTTCCACACCCCTCTTGTAGTACATCTATTCTGTCTGTGTGTTACCAGCTTGTATCACCTTTCCTGTTGTTAATACAATTTACCCATATAAACAGTTTTTTATCTCTGAATGTATTTCCTTAAAAGAAGGTGCTATAGTAGCATGAGACCTCTAATTCATCCCAATTATTCAGGTTTCTGCAGGAGTTAGTAAAGCATCACTTTTTGCTCTTTACTTAATTATATGAAAATATTTTTACCTCAGTGGGAAGGGAATTGCAATTAAAATTTTAATACTTCCAAGTTCCTTCAGTGAAAGTTGAAAAGTGGCCTCTTTGCAGTATGTCTTTTTCATCACCTTTTGTTTCTGTGCTTTTATAAAGGTTTTTTCTCATGCATATGCCTAGTTATCAATAAATTCTGCAACTCTGATTAAAAAAGAGTTGTTCTTAGACCTATCTAATTTCTGAGTATCTTAGATGGTTTTAAAAAGAAACAAGTTTTCAGATCCTTGACTTGAAATAAAGTGGCTTCTGCTATATTGAGCATCCACAGATTCCATTAATGTCACTGAGATTTGCGTGTCCTGATTACCTTTTACAGTCAGGCACCTCTTAAGTGTCCTAAGTAGAAGCCTAACTTTAGGCACCAACATTTGACATTTGGGGGATATGGAAGGTTATTTGATTTGTGAAATAATTTTTTTTTTTTTCCAGCTTCACAATTACTAGGTTTCTGAGGGGTTTTTTAAGGCTTTTTTTTTTTTTTGCTGGCAATTTGTAGGAATTTTTAATTTCAGTGTAGTGATTGTCTAACTATGGGTCTAATGAAAATGTAAAATGAAGGTATATAGTAGCTTTAGTTATTTATTATGTAGCTATCTAAGCATACATATAAATTAATTTGACCTTACCGTTAACAGTGCATAGCATACTGTAGCCAATCTGTTTGTTCTGTTTATAATATTTTTTATATATTTGCAGGTCATTGCCTATAACTCAGAAGGGAAAAGCAGTCCAAGTGAGACAGTAGAATACATTACTTGTCCAGACAAGCCTGGAGTACCTTCAAAACCAACAGTGAAAGGAAAAATTCACGCACAGAGTTTTAAAATAACCTGGGGTAAGATTGTTGTCCAGCTCTGTTTAGAGTATGTCCTTTGTATTTTTTATATCTATATCTAAAATATTTTTTTAAATACATTTGAATATAGAAGGCCGGTTTTTACTTCAGTAACACTTCAGTCAACTAAGCCATTATGATCTGTTTTCATGGAACTAAGAGGAAGATACTGATTCAAAATACTTAGGGTTGTGGTATAATAGTGTAATTATGTGGGAAGAATAATAAACAAATTGTAGTAGGGACTGTTATTGCAGGGGACTACAATAATTAAAAAAACAGTAGTGTTAATTTGTGTACTAAGAAGTTCTGTTTCTCTGGCACAAAAAGTAGATGTCACAAAATTCAGGAGTTTTATCAAGAGCAGATCCAAGTTCAACCTATCTCTTCAAAGTGTTTGGTTTTGATAAGTAAATGTTTTTTATTCACTAAGGATCTTCAGAAACTTTTCCTTAAGCTCAGGGGTTTTTAGCCTTATGCTGTGAAGTGGGAGAAGGTGAAACAGTACTGTGTGATGTAGAAAATCAAACAGTTAAAGGTTTTATTTATCATCGCAGGTAATTAAACTTCTTACCTATTTCTCTTTAATAGTGTGTTTAATTCTTTTGCATTAATAATAAGAAAGTTACTTGTAGAGTGTAAGTAGTACTCAGCAAGTCTAGTCTTGCATCTTTCCAGGGTGCTTTGCTACATCAGGGCCTGATACTTGATCTTTTATGGATGATATATAATGTATGAAGTTGTTAAAAATACCTAATTTGTAAATTGAAAACTATCTAAAATATCTATATATAAAACCTTTAATAGTCATTATTTTGAACAGTAATGCTCTCTTTTTTTAAATAAGTGATAATTCATGTGGTAATTTTATTTTTTATTTGCAGTAATTTGTTACCTTCCAACCAAAAAAGTACTATGTGCTATATAATAAGTCTCAAAACATATTAGAAATATTTAGCAGGTGTGATATGATATGTAACTCTTGCCTAAGAGCCAACACTACTTCATCTAGCACATACATAATGTCATGTTATGGCAGCAGTGCCCTTCTGTGGTGAAGTATCGTGCTATCTTTGTCCAAAATGTTGGGGTTTCCACATTATTTTAATTCTGCTATTCTCTAAGTCAGCTCTGAGAAAGATCAAAGATAAGTCTGTAGGTTTGTGTCTTGTACCTGAATATTGTACCAGGGACGATAGTGCACTCAATTTCTAGTGATGTATTAAAAATTTAAGAGATTAAGTTTTTGGTGTAGAACTCCTGACTTCTACTCTCTCCCAAAATATTTATGTTTTTGAAATCCGGTCTTAAATCCTTTTGAAATAGTCTTCTATGCAAATTAGTGTGGTAATCTTTTCCTATCTGCAGTCCAAATTACAGGACCATTAGGATCTGTGTCCCTGAAACAATAATTGGGCAGTCTTCCACAGCACTTCAGACTGAAATGTGTGCTGTGGCATCTCCCAGGTGCCTGATTCGCTCATCACTCTTCATCTGTAGAGTATTATGCAGGGTTGTGAGTCGGCAGCTTCGCATAGTGGAGAATGTGAGTGATTTGCGGCTGTCCTGAACTAGGATGCTATGGCTAATTAGGATGCTGTCTGTCTAAATAAGTGCCCATCTCCAGTCGGCTGTTGATTTTGCCTTTTGTAAATTCTCCCCAAAAGCCACAAAACCATTTAATTTACCTCGCTTAGTTAGAATATTGCTGGTTTTTATAGATCCCCCAAAAGACAACGGAGGAGCAGCAATAAATACATATGTTGTGGAAATGTCTGAAGGCATAAATGGTAAGTATTAGGAGCATATGTTGGCATTCAGCTGTGTTCTTTCTTCTGCGTGTGTGCACCTGTGGGAAGAGTAAAATGTATATTATGCTAGGGAAAGTTATTGCAAGGGACTGCCATTAAAAAAATAGGGATGTTGATGCTTGTAAATAAGGGGTTCTCCTCTGGCTTAGAAAGAAGATGCCACAAAACTCTATGTTGAAAGAGATGCTCCGTGTTTAACTTACTAATTACGTGTGTGTTCTTTTGGAAGTGAAATGACATATTTCAGATGTTTTAGGGCAAGAAGACAGGGCCATGGAGCTTTGTTGGATGTGTGACAGATGAAAGAAAAACTAGTGCTCCATTTATCACTATTAAAGGAGAACAGTGATGCAGTTGGGATAACTGTTTCTGTTATTTGCTTTTCCGTGCTTTCAGACAGAAGGGAAGTTAACAATATTTCTGAACTGGACATAAAGCTATCCAGCTAAATTATTTAAAAATCTAGATCTCTTAAGTAACCTTATTAAATTCAGAAACACAGTCACACTGAGAATGAAAGTTTATACTTCTCCAGTGCTGTATCAGATTAAGACAGCACCCTGTCCCCAGATTGTAATGGCAGCACTGCCGGGGTCTCACCTGCAGTTCTTTTGATACTTAGTCTATTGCTTTCCTTACTCCATCACATGTCCACATTAAGTCACTTTTGGAATGATTTACCCAAGCCTTTCATGCAGATTTAGTGAGCTGTGCATTACGTTTCATTCCCAGTCCTCTAAATTCTGTGATGTATTGAGTTGGAGATCTAATTAAAAGTCCCCAGGTTCTCTGCTTAATCTCTTAAAAAGAGAGAGAGAGAATGCTAAAGAGTTTCTGATTTAAGAATCTGACTGAATAGCAAAGAATGAAATCAGTATTTCAGATGGTGGTGGGCCATTCAGGAATACAGGAACAAGCCTATTCAATTGTGAACTGTAGTTACGGTTTGCAAAATTAATGTTTCTTTTCTGTGGAAAATTTTGCTTTTGTACCCTTCCTATTTATTTGGTTATAATGTTTGAATGTGCTTGCTGGCCCAGTAATAACTACTTCATTAAAAGTAAATTCTCTCCTGGTTAATGTGAATACCAACTAAGGAAGATAATTCCACTTCAGCAGATCTACACAAATTTACCTAGGAAACTATCTTTGTGAAATGATGCGATCTTTTTCCAGGAAACTCAAAGCAAGCCTTAAATTTTGTTGATAACGTCAGGCACACACTTACTTAGAGAAGCTAGGATACTTGCTGGGGCTGGTACTGAAGAGTGGCAAATTACGCCTTTGGTTCATTGCACACTTACTCCTGACCTTTCAGGAAACAAATGGGACACGATATACAGCGGAGCTGCTAGGGAACATGTGTGCGACCGACTAAATCCTGGCTGTTCCTATCGCTTACGTGTATATTGCGTTGGGGAAGGAGGACAAAGCACGGTAATATGAGCTAATATTTTTAATAATTAAAATATCCGGTCCAGTAGTTAATAGCAAATACTGTACAGAAGTGCCTAACAAAATAGCCATAATTTGTATTTCAAAAAAGTTCCAGTATTGATGCACAGTGTTTCAAGTTTCTGCCTATTTCTTAGAGAAATAAATGTGACTATTTTTTTCTGATACTTTGTTTAAAGTGATTTTTCTTATTTACGGAAACAGATACTATGTCTTTTCCTGTGTGATATGTTGACAGAATGTCTTGTCTTAAGGCCTAACACAAGACAGCAGTGTAAATTTAATGTTTCCCACGTGGTCAGTGGAGTAAGCCGAGTCAGCCCAGCAGGCAAGGAGTGTTTCCTCAGGCTTTACAGGGTTGCGCTCCGTAGTGTCTTCCCACGCTGTCTCAGCCACAATAAAAATGTTTACATTGCCCTGCTTTTCCGTATTCCCAAAGAATTCGATATGCCATACTATGCTCCCTCATATATATACATTACATACACACACTCTTGCACTGTCACTTCTGTGGTGTAGTTCAGCCTCCAGAGCTAAAACGCTATGCTGTATTCTTCTCCCTTCCTCCCAGCAGCAGGTGTAATAAAGCCAGCCCTGGCTCTCTACAGATTTCCAGCAGGGCTTCACTGTCAAGCTGATCTCCTGGAAAATCCTAAAGCCTTGCGTTCTTGGAGTTTGCATTTCTTCCCCAGCCCCCCTTTACTATATGGAATTCAGATGTTCTTCCTCTGCATAGAAGGCTCCTGCAAAGATAGCCTTGCCCACAGCCACCTTGTCTTAAGAATAAATCTGGACTCCTTCAGTGCTGGCTGAGCGGCAATGCGTTCCCTCTTGCCATAGCTCAGCTTGCTGTTGTCCAGGGAAGGGGGAAGGCAAGTGTGCTTCCCAGTGACCTAACCACAAGTGCATGTATGTCTTTGGAGGCTTCTGCTCTGCCAGCCTCCTTCCCTACAACCCAACTCCATTAGTTTAGAATAAACGTTATTTGAGTACCAAAGAGAAAGTAACTTTCAGAAAGTCCTGGTACTTTCTGAAGATGTCAGAAATCAACAGAAGATTAGTAAGGAAAGATGTAATAAAACTTTTCTGTAGCTTGTCATGGACATACGCTTCCTGAGAAGCATTCTGCTTTTTAAATGGCATCTGTTGTTCAATGCAACAATACATTTCAAAGGAACTGAAAAGCAGCAGAGCTTCCAATCTACTCTTTCTGGAGAAAGCAGTTGTGAAATAAGACTCTAAGATGCATCTCTCTTGTAAACTAGAAGGCTTACCAACTTTGCATTTGTTCTGTAGTGCACTGAAGCCAATAACCCCACGTTGTCTCTGACTCATTTCTGTCTGCATCCAGAATAGTCAATGCCATCTGCTGTGTGTTGTTATGCTATCTATTTTTGCACACACTTCAAATCAGAGGTGGAAGTTTGTTGCATATTAAGTATTACTAAGCAATGAAAAAGTTGAAATCTCAATGTTTTAATCTCTTCTGATTGACCTTTCTGCCCACTTTCGCTTTTTGAGAGGATCTTGCACAGAAAGCATACAACCCTTAGAGTAAGGTTTTAGAAATCATTAAACTGCAGTTTGATGGAAAAGAGAATGAGTTTACATTGAACAAGTCGTATTTCAAGCGTCCATGCCAGGTTTGTACTGATACTTAACTTCTGTTTTTAATTCTACCCCTTGCATGTGTAGCAAACCACAAAAGCAAAAGTTAATTTTGCATATTGTGTGATTACTGTAGCATATAGGTATTATGAGAAGTACATCCCAGATCACTTAAGCATCTTCATGTATTTGAAGATGTAGGTCAAAAAAGGGAAGATCTTGTTTCTAACTCAAGTATTTTTCTTTACTTAAGGCATAATGGTAGTGCTTGTTTTGGCCTAGATGACTTCATTAATCCATCTTTCCTTTGTAGGCATCTGATTCTTTACTGGTGCAGACACCAGCAGTGGTTCCTGGTCCATGCCAACCTCCAAGGCTACAGGGTAGACCAAGAGCAAGAGAAATTCAGCTGCGCTGGGGTAATTCTATTACAACTATTAGTGAGTATAAGGGATCCGAATGTGTTATGCGTTAAAATTTAATAAGCTTTTCTTTCTTTCTTATTTTCAGGACCACCTCAGGTAGACGGTGGTTCACCCATTACGTGTTACGGTCTGGAAATGTTTCATACAGAAACCGATGAACATAAAGAGGTGTACCAAGGCTGTGATGTTGAATGCACAGTAGGCAGCCTTCTTCCAGGGAGGATGTACAACTTCAGACTGCGAGCAGCTAACAAGGCTGGGGTAAGAGGGCAGTCTAAAGTAAAATTAGTTCCAGAGACTGCAATCACTATTAAGGATCTTCTCTTTTAAGAAGCATTGAACAGCAGTTTCAAAATGAGGATTTCCTAATGTAGATACATTTGATTCACATAGCTTATTGTTGTGTGGGAAGAGACAGTTAAACATCAGTTTATAATAAAGGGGGAAATATGAAGGGAATGAATGAAATATGAAGGAATGAAGGGAAAATAGCTAATTATATCTTGTATCGGAATAATAGCATTGGGACGTGGTTAGGAAATATTAAGTACTTTATCAAAGCATTGTGGCAACTTTAATAATCTCATGTGAAGTAAGGTAGTAAATTATTTTCTGTATACAGCTTTGTGAATTGAGTGACCTTTATTTTTACAGCTGTTGGTGTTCTAGAACATAATAATTAGTGTTTCCTAACTCTCTTGGGTTTGTATTTAGTTTAACTTCTCAGTAGACTTTCTATCAGATACAAGAATATTTTCTCTATTTGGAGTATTAAATGTGTTTAAATCAATTGTTGCTGTAGAACAAGTTTTATTTAATTATGTATCCAAAGTCCTGATTTAAAGACATAGAGGCAGGGCTGCTTGCATGTGTTCAATAACGTTCTCTTCATAAAACTATAAGGACCAGTTGACACTGTTTGGGGAGAGGTCTGCAGCTTAAGACTTTAAAGCACTGACCTAATTTTTTATCTGGTTTTGAATTCTTTCTTTCTTTTAGATAGATATAAATAGGTAGTTACAAATTGTGTAATGTTACAGTGCAGCCATCATGTAACTTCAAAATAAGGATTTTGATAGCACTTTCCTGTTTTGCCTGAGAGTTTGAAGTGTCAAATTTATTCTGATTGCATTTGCTATAGAGAAGAAGAGTCTTGCAGCTATTCTGGAGAATAGTTGGATACCAAAATAAATCCTGAATGTACAGTTCACAAACATTTATTTTATAAGTAATATAAAGTTTCAGGCTGCTGTTATATGTCCCTACTATGGTAAACTGTTATTTAAAAAGTAGTAATTTTATTTTTACAAATTAGTTGTATCAACTAACTAAATCCCTTTTTAATAGTTTGGACCTTATTCAGAAAAATGTGAAATAACTACAGCACCTGGACCACCAGATCAGTGCAAGCCCCCCCAAGTGGCATGCCGATCTTCTGCATGTGCTCAGGTGTCATGGGAGGTAAGAATGCCATGTTACGCCTATCTGAACGTGACTGTCTTCTACGTTTTTAAGTTCAACTTTAAAAGCTTAAGACTGCATTTTAATCACATTTTTAAACATACTTATCTGATTATCCAGTACTTGGTAGGCAGAACCTTAAATTCATTCATCATACCATTATATGAGAGCTGTGAGTTGGCAGCCCGCAAGTGTTTGAGATCTTTGTTCTTTTGTTTAACAGTTTTGCCACAACTGCTGCATTGCATTTCTGAGTGATGCAGGCTCTTCTTGAAATTTTTCTTTAATGTAGTTATCTTTCCTCAGAGCGAATATATCCACATAATACAATAGATTATTGTGCATTTGCTAGTTTTATAAGCTGATCTAATTTTATATAATCACATCAGTAATAATGTAGCAAAAGCCTCACAGACTTCCTATAAACCCATAGTATTTAGATATCTGGTTAAAAAAATGCAATAGGTAAAAATTAAGCTTGTAAAAAGGAAGATTCTATCTGGGAATACTGTTTAAACACAGCTTTTCGTTGCCTTGAGATGGAGTGAAGTATCTGAGTTACAGAATGGTATGGAAAAAAAAGGGCAAATGATCTCTGCATTTAAGCAACTGAAATCAGAATTACTTTGTATAGAGTAGTCTCTGCAACAGTAAACAGTGTTTTTAAACTATAGGTGACCCAGGGCCAGTAATGCATTCTGATTTATATGTATTGCACTAAATTGAAAATCAGCAAAGAAACGGGAAGGTAACTATAAATGTGGTGAGTTTGGTTGAATTATTTTCAGGTAATGAATTTAACTTCCAACTATTTGTATCCATTTCAAAGGTTCCAGTGAGTAATGGAGCTGACGTCACAGAGTATCGGCTGGAGTGGGGCGGTGTAGAAGGATGCATGCAGATCTCCTATTGTGGGCCCGGGATCAACTGTGAAATGAAAGGGCTTTTGCCTGCCACTATATACTATTGCAGGGTTCAGGTAAAGATGTAAAACTGTTGTTAATGAAAGCTGGTAACGGGAATTGACCCTGCTGTAAAAGTAACCATGGTCTGCTTGACATTTGCAGGCAGTGAATGTTGCAGGTGCGGGCCCTTTCAGTGAAGTAGTGGCATGTATGACTCCAGCCTCTGTACCTGCAGTTGTGACTTGTCTTCGAGGACTAAGTGAAGATGAAGTTGAAAGTCCACACTATTCTCCTTCCACATGCCTTGCTATAAGCTGGGAAAAACCTTGTGACCATGGATCTGAAATCCTTGGCTACAGCATAGACTTTGGAGATAAGCAGCCAATAACTGTTGGGAAGGTTCTGAGCTATTCTATAGATGGCTTACAGCCAGATACTACCTACAGGTATGCCATGCACAGCTACTGGACATCCTACTCTTTCTTCCACAAGAGCAGATTCTTTATTTGTTTGTTTTCTTATATTTTTTTTATTCCGTACATGACTCTCAGAGAAATATTAGTACATAACCATGGAGGAAAAGGAAGCTTTGTAACAATGACCTTCATAAGTAGATGAGCTGTGCTGTTTTTATTTTCTTTCAAGAACTATTTATTTTAGTGTGCTTATTGCTGTAGATCTGTTGTATCTGTCTGGTTAATGTCTCAGCTTAACTGAATTCAGATTACAGATTCAGATTCATAACTGGGTTTTGGACTGGTTGCTTCATAGGTAGATGGCCTCTAATCTGTTAGGCAAGATAAAATCTATCCAAGGAAGGACCATGTCCAGTCTTTACTGACTGGGTTGTCTGATCTAATGGCAGCTCATCACAACTTGCAGTGCCTTTTCTGTAGAAATACAGAGTATTTGGGTGGCAGTCAACATGAAGAATGTCAGTTTGAAAATCTATCAATCAATTTTAAATCTCTTCTCAAGAATTTTCGTTGCTAAAATCATCCCTTACATTTGGTTACTGAAAAATATAAATGTAGAAATCAATAATTCTGCCTGAAGGCGCTCTACATACCTGTTACAAAAACATGTCCTCAGTGTTAAAACTTAAAGGTGAATGTCAGTCCCACTGAAGTCAGAATTTAAGCCCGCACCGATTTCAGTATAGTCAGGACATCATCTGGCTATGCAGTTTTCTGAATCCTTAAAGATTTGGTTTTACTTTTTTAATGCTATGTGTAAGACTACAATGTTTCTTTCTATGTGCCTTATAAGTATTTAAGAATAATGCTGGCAATTTGAAGAGCCGTTTCTCTCTGTGTCAACAAACTGAAAAGAGAGCAGCTTTTATTGCAGAGATACTTCTATACTTCTACCCACAAAAATATGCTTATAGAATACACTGTCAACTCTTTGTGCAAATAAAAAATCGCATATGTTAACCTTATTTCTGTGCTATAATAAATTAGTGTTAAATATTACTGTAGTAAAGGAGAAATATTTATTCATAAGCCTGCACACACATTTGTGTTTCAGTATTTTGAAACTGTGTGGTTGATTGTTTCAGAATTTAATTATTATGATTACTTTTTTCCAGTTACCTAGATACTATTTTAGACAAGAAAATGTTAGTCTGCAAAATGAGATTAGACACACTTTGCTCTCTATGGCTACCTGTGAGATATGAAAAGAGCCTCACATTTCTCTAGTTTCTGCTTTTTCCTTTTTAGAAATAAATTTCTTGGCTACTTACTTTAATTCTTACTTGTAAACCTAATGCCAGCATTGTTTTTCATGGAGCAGCCGAAGGAAAAACAAAAAAATTATCCCTGAATTTCAATCTACAACCCCCTCAGCTATGTGTCCTTTGACAACTTCTAGTTTCCCCCTCTCCCGTTCCAAGAATACCCAAGATGGCTTGTGTTTGCAGGCACCCAGAGATGTGTTGTTACCAGTGAAAACAGCAAGAGAGGTGCCTGGTCACCATCACTTTATTTTCACATGAATCAGATCTATTCCAAAAAGCCCATAAAACTTTCCCGAACTCACCCGATATAATAGTCAAAGATACAGATTCACCTCTTTTCGGGGTGGGTTTTTTTTACCTTCCCTCATCTCTCCAATGTGGCTGTCAAAAAATCTGGTACAAGGCCTGCAGGGTCAGGAAGATGGACCATTTTTGAAGTAGCTGATAGAGCTTTGGCATCTTTTCACTAATGTGAATGTTGCAAATATGCTAACATACTTTTATTTTGAATCAATCCAGCTCCTTAAAATGCAGCAAGGAAAGTGACACTCCTGCATATTCATGACAGTTTATCAAAGTGTAATAGTGATAAAAGTCTTTCCTTGTAGAAAGTACTGTCTGTTTGGTACTATTATTCTCTCTTGAATGTGAATGGTGGAAATGACCAGTTATTTTTTAGAATCTGATTTCAAGTTAATTTATCCTCTCTTTTTTTCAAATACTAGAGTACGAATTCAAGCCCTAAACAGTCTCGGAGCGGGTCCTTTCAGCCACACCATAAAACTGAAAACAAAACCTCTCCCCCCGGATCCACCTCGCCTGGAATGTGCTGCATACAGTTCTCAGACTCTCAAGCTGAAGTGGGGAGAGGGAACTGCAAAAGCACTAACTGACTCCATTCAGTACCACCTTCAGATGGAGGATAAGAACGGAAGGTTGGTTTTGGCATCGCTTTAATCTGCCCTGTATCGCTGTGGTCTGATGGCAGCAAAGGTCAAAATTCCGTGTGCTTTGCTGAATTTACAACAGACGTAGGAGGTCATCTCATCTGGCAAGGCAAGAAGGGCTCTAGTGTTCCGTGCTGGGAAGTACAAGATTAGAAACTTCGTAGTTTTTTTATTGAAAATTTTTAAATTGAAGAGTTAATGAAGTGTTTCATACCAGCACACTTTCTCTCACATTTGGTTAAGTATTTTGTCCAAGTACCATGTCTAATCAGTCTTGTGGATTTTATATACTTGATATTGGACAGGTTGAATTCTTTACTCTCTGTTGTCTTTCTATGTAATCATTAAAAAAAAAATTAGTGGAAAATAAACTCATATAGTACAAATTATTATTTTAAGGGATCTCTCGTGTTAAATCAGAATGTAAGCTGAGATGGTACAGCAAGTACCCTTGCCTAAATGGTAAAATGAACAGTACTGCTACACTATGTACTATGTCTGAATCTCTGAGTAGATTTAGCTTGACAGTGAGACAAAATAGATCTGCTAGGTGAAATTGCTCTTCTGTAAGGAGGAAAAGAATTAGACTCTTAACTGGAAAAAAATTCATTGCCATTCATTACCAAAGACTAGGTCATGTGCAGGTACCATCTGCTTTAAATTTAAAAGAAAAGAAAAAGTTGAAGAAGGTGATAACCCCTGCAGAAAGATATAAACTTGTGCTGTGTCCTGGGGATACCAAAATTGAAAATCAAATGAGAGCTGCCAAGATCAGTCTATGTAAGAATTAAAACATGAAGGAGAGTGGCCAGCCTACAAAGCTCTCAGAATGGGAGTTGGTGTGCGCTACAAGCATGACTCTGGCCTCCTGTGCAGATCTGAGTGAGCTTCATCAGTTACTCATCTCTGATAACGATGTACCAGAGCAGTTGGATCCATGACCCTTAGACGTAGTAAGGGAGAGTTGCAGAGGAGCAAAAAGCTAAAATCTTGTTACCTAATTATGAAAAGCTAAAGATACTGAGGGAGTAGATGGCAAAAAAAAAAAAAAAAAAAGCAGTGTATACAGCTGATTGAGAGAGAGAACTGCTATCCTTTCTCATTGTTTCAAGTGCAGAATGGTTTCTGAAAATGCTTAGGATCATTTTTGCCAAGAGACACTCTGTAGTACTCTTAGTATAAAGGAGATTTTTATTTGAAAGACATGAGAAATAAAAACTTGGCCCCGTAAAATGAGCTTATTTTTTTATAGTAATGCCAGAACACTGTTTAACTCTGAAATAAATATTTCTGGGCTTCTCATTAGATTCTGGGAAATTACGGGAATAGCTTTCAAGCCAATACTGTAGCTATTTCGGAAGTCGTTTTCTGTGTTTAAAATACGCTACTCTTTTTCAGGTTTGTATCCTTATACAGAGGACCATGTCATACATACAAAGTACAAAGACTCAGTGAGTCAACATCATACAAATTTTGTATTCAGGCGTGTAATGAAGCTGGTGAAGGTCCCCTTTCTCAAGAATATGTTTTCACTACTCCCAAATCTGTTCCAGCTGCCTTGAAAGGTAAAGGTGCTTCTTTTTTCATTTAGGGGGATGGCAAGTTGGTTTTGGTATTGTGTTGTATTTGGGGTATCTAGAATGCTCAGCCCTTTTCCAAGTGTACATAGACATAGTAAGAGAATGCTCCTGTCATATAATTGCCTAAAGCCTAAAATATTCACTTCAAAAATGAGAGACTTGGGATTTATGCATTCTTTGACAATAGAAGGCTTGTACTTAGAATCCTTACCAACCAGGAGAGAGTGACCAGGTTGTTATAGTAATTTGAGGTGAAAATTCTTCCTAGCATGTTTAGAATAATTTTAAGCGTAGCAACTATTTTCTTTTTGCATATGATACACACTTGCAGTCACCAAATTTTACTTGCTTTCTCTTGGATGATACCTAAATTGTCAAGAGACAATTTCTGTTTTTCCAGAAAACATTGTCAGAAGAACACATTTGAATCTGAATCTTTTGTTTCTCTGAGGCAACAGTAGCAGCTAGAATACAGAATTTTACAAGTTGTTAGAATATAGTGTTAAGTGATGGGAAAGCAGTGCTAGCTGTCGCTTTTGTTTTCTCCCTTCAGCACCAAGGATAGAGAGAGTAAACGATCACACTTGTGACATCACATGGGAGGTTCTGCAGTCCATGAAGGGTGATCCAGTTATCTACTGTCTTCAGGTCATGGTGGGAAAAGACTCGGAGTTCAAACAGGTATGGTGTGTTTAAGTTATTGTATTTTTCTTCAATTACTATTTGTGATGACTAGTTTAGATCAAAGATTATTGTGTTCTAGTATGTTTATAGTCACCGTGCTCACTTTTTGTTACTAAATAATATGAGGTAATATCTCTTAAAACCATTGTCATAGAGAAAAGAGATTTAAGTGATATAAACACTACAGTGAGTTGCAGCCTCTTTGGGTTACACTGATGTTTGCTAAATACAACTTGACACCTTAAGTGGTGAGGAAATCAATGGGAAGAACTGACAAAAAGAAAACATCCACCCAATGTTACAGAATTGAGACTTACGAGAAAAAGAACAAAGGGTTCTCTTTGCACCAAAAGCTGTTTAAAGGCAGTAAACAATATTATAAAAGCTTTGATGTTGCCAAAGTCATACTTCTGTACAGAGAACTGCAGATAGGAAGGACCTTCTACTTATGCAATGCAGACATTCATACTTTTTTTAATATCATTCAGTGATTTTTTTGTCACAGAACCATATCAGTAGTAGGGCATGCTGTAACTACAAGAGTTGAGCAGTTGAGAGTGTGTTTCAATTTCAGGTTTGATTATCCAAAGATGCAGTTTGAAACACCAAGCTACAAATTACTCTGCATTTAAAAGAGGATGTGCAGTGCTAATTTTGCTTCCCTATAAACTGCCTGATAATTGACATGAAATTAGGCTTGGAGACTCTGTTTCACACTATTAAGCAAGCAGGTTTCCTTCCAGAAAGGAAACACAATTAATTCTGGTATATTATAATTTTATTATAGTTCAATATTAAATAAGTTTTGTCTGTGCTTTGGTAGATTATAGGCCTTAGTATTTTTGTAATTCATAACTTTTAGTGTAGTGCTATGTTTGTTTGTAAAATTTTTCAGTAGAAGATGAACCATAATCCAAGGTGTTTGTTATCTTGCCATGTGAATATTCTTTATTGTAACTTTAAAATTGTAAATGGAACATTAGTGTGTAAGTGAGGCGTGGTCAGTGTTGATTGTAGACACGGAGTCAAATCACACTTTGATTAGCAATGTGCATTGCCAAATGAGCTGGACAAGAAAATAAAGGTTACGCTTTGAGCCTGGAAATAACAAAGCAGACTGAGGTGCATGATTCCGTTTGCCTCTCCAGAACAGTTTAGCACAGTAAATTAAAAGAAAATGAGAAGATTAGTTTGCAAAAATTAAAATTGGAACAGTCAAGAAGTAAGCACGGTGGAAACAGCCTTTAAGATACTTAGACATGATGGTGACTATTTTCTTTGACACAGACAAAAAATAAACTGCCTGGGAGTCCACTCCAAGCTGTTTACTACCATTTCCCTGCCAAAACTTCACTCTCCTCCCTGATCTATCAGCCAAATTGCTCGTGTCGTTGCTTCCTGCATGCTTCAGACAAAATAAGTTAGTCATCTGCCATTTGAGCTATGTACATCAGTCGAGCTCTTAAAGGGGTTAGGAAGCAGCCATATAAATACCCCAGCTAACACTTCTCGGGGGAAGGCAACTTCTGGCAAGGCACTGGGGACGAGCAGCTGAGGACAGCAACCTCTGCCAGCTGGTGTAGCTGCAGCTAGAGTGGGATGTGTGTCTGTGGCCTGTTTGCTCGCTACCAAACTCATGATACAAATTATCAGAATTTTGAGGAAGCTGCACTTCAATGACCTGCCCTGTCTTGGTGTGGGAACAATTTCTTGAGAGAACAAAGTCTCCAGGTTGTAGATTCCAGTAAAGCTCAGCTGCCTGGTTGTCAGAGGACTTTGTGAGTCCATGAGTAGCTGCAGGCACAGCGACAGCTCTTCAAATTCGGAAGAGATTGCGTGCTTCTCTCATGGAATGGGTGTAGTTTGCAAGTTGTGAAGTACCATCTAA